GAGAATCAAACGAACTATTTTCAATTTGATCAATTTTCTGGAACGTTTACAATCGTTCTATAATCGAACCAATATGCAATAACAAATTCAAATTTAAAAGAGTTTGAACATTTTTAAAATCGAAATAGATAAAAATATTTATAACAATGTCTGAAATGTTATTAATTTAATACACCTAAGTACTCAATGAAGACTAAATCCTCTCCCTCTCTCGCCCGCGGGGGAATTTCAAAAAAATCCCTTCTTAGTGTGCATTGCCATGGCATACCCTACTAAAACACAGATAAAAACAAAAAATCGCATCTAAAGTAGTATAGTAGAAGCCATTCTTCCGGTTAAGCCTTAATGCTCTCCCTCTATACCCGTGGGAGAATTTTGAAAAATCCCTTCTTAGTGTGCATTCTCATGGCATACCCTACCACAACGCAGATTAAAAAAAAAACCACATCTAAAATTGTACAGTAGAAGCCATTCTTCCGGTTAAGCCTTAATCCTCTCCCTCTCTCCCCGCAGGGGAATTTCGAAAAATCACTTCTTAGTGTGCGTTTCCATGACGTACCCTAACTGTCTACCAAATTTAAGCTCTTTAGGTTAAGCGGTTTGCTCTGGGTGATGATGAATCAGTGAGTGAATGAGTGAGTCATTCAGTCAGTCAGGACAAGCAATTTTATATATTTAGATAATTTGACAGGAATTGATGCTACTCAAACTGTGATCAGTTTATTACTTGGCTGTGATGAGATTCCACTTAAAATTTGATAATTTTTTATATTGCATCAAAAAAAATAATTTAGAAATATCTTGAAAAGTATTTTAAAAATATATTACTTTATTACTTTCATTTTTCTTTATTATTTTAACACTACAGAGGATGGATTGGTGATTGAAATAGGCTGAGAGATTACTTAAAAACAGCAATGTGTTTTTTTAAAATGATTAGAACCAAATTTTGTAATTATATTTTATTTACTTGTTAATTCAGTCTAAAAATTAAAATTGAAAAACAAAATGTATTTGAACTACATTCTCTTCATTTTATAATTATTTTTAATTTCACGAAAATACTAGTCTGGAAGGGAGTGTATAAAAAAACAGTTTGAGAAATACTGATTTAGATTATAAATTGTAAAAACTGTGAATATTTAGTAAATATTTTGACTAAGAAGAGATTAAACAATATTCCTCTACAAATTTCTTGTATTTTTTAAGTTGGACTGCAATTTTGTATAATGATTTCAATATATAATTTTTTCATAATAATAGAAACTATAGTTGAAATTTTAGATGCTGAATCTTCCAATTCTGTTGAAAATTGAATATTTATTAATATCATGCCTATATTGTTTTATTATTATTTTATATAAAATGTTTTTTGCCAGTAAAAATAAAACATTTAAAACTAACTCTTACTTTAAACCTCGTAACCGGAGTGAATGTATAATACTTCCGCAAACGTTTTCGAATCATCACAATATATGTGCGATGATTCGAAAGGTAAACAAATCAAAAGAAAATGTTCGATTTTCAACGTCCAGTTTACCATTTATCAAAAAAAGCCTGAAGAAGAACCCAGGAGGGGCGTCAAAAACGTTTGCGGAAGTATTATACATTCACTCCGGTTACGAGGTTTAAAGTAAGAGTTATTTTTAGTACATTCTGGTGTGTGGAGAAGAATAAATAAAACATTTATTAACGGAACAAACATTTTCAACTATGTATAATGCCTATCTTCAGGTTCTAGAATGGAATATAATATATAGAACAGGAAGCACATTTGAAATTAAAAACATTTGAAAATTACAAATTCACATAGTAAATTACATGTGCAAGAGCACATTAGATATACAGGTGTTTTTTTTTAAACTGACAGTACTCAGAGACATCTGTAGAGGAATCTAATGGCCGGATTGTCACCAAATTTGGGATAGTGACTAAGGACGACATGGGAAAGAGATTCCGTGAAGAAAAAAATAGTAGTACCTAAATTTACTGGTAGGGGTGGATTTGGCGCTGTTGTAGCAAAACAGCTAAGAATTTGCATAAAACCCAGCTGCAATTAACAAACACATGAATGAATAATCAGACAGATGTTTCAGTGCAATAACGAAAGTTTAATTACTCAGCAAATAACCTTCTCCCTCCTTCAATGTGACCACCGTGCTGCTGGACAACACATTGCATTCTGGACACCGTGTTCTCTATGGCCGAACGTAACATGTCTGCAGGAATGTTCATCACGGTTCGAGAAATGTTGTCCTTCAAGGTCATCAAGTTGAGGACACCACCAAGATAGACCTTGGACTTTAAGTAACCCCACAGGAAAAAGTCACATGGGGTTAGATCCGGGGGGTTAGAACCTTCAACAAGTGCAGTCACAACATCACTAACTGTCTGTGCAGACACCAGTTTCTGCCCTCTACCAGGCTGAACTGCTAAGGATCCTGTCTGTTCAAATTTCTTTATCAAGTCTTTTAATACATTAATTGATAGAGGATCTTTGCTCAGGTTGTTACGGGTTCTAAACTCACAAAGAGCACCTAGTGCGCTCGATTGGTTAAGATAATAAAGTTTTACAAGCAACGCACACTGAGGTAATGAAAGATGCACGTTGAACTCTGCTGACGACCGGAATGTGCTTCCAACTTTTGTCCTTGTCTTTTAAGTTCAAATTAGCTGGTACTGCTGTTGACCACGCCATGGTGAATTTGGATTTTGAAGTGTTACCAGCGCAATATGCAAATTATTAGCTGTTTTGCTACAGAAGTGCCAAATTCACCCCTACTGGCGAATTTGGGTACTACTTTTTTTACTTCTTGGAATCTCTTTCCCATGTTGTCCTTAGTCACTATCCCAAATTTGGCGACAATCTAGCTGTTAGATTGCTCTACAGATGTCTCAGAGTACCGTCAGTTTAAAAATAAAACACCCTGTATATTAGATAAAACATATATTAGATAAGATATATTAAACATAGCAAATATATTAGATAAAACATAGAAAATAGAAATAAATAAT